AAGGGGCAAATGGCAAAAAGGCCCATCACATGGGACTTAACTGCATTTTGGTCCACAAAAAAAACAGTCTCTCAATTAAGCCCATCCCCATGTCTTTAGTCTAAAATACCCTCAATAATATAATTCTTATCAATTCCACCCATTATGATCTAACTTCCTTAATAATACACATTGACCCCGGATTTAAACAAATATATCACATTAACCCCCAAAACTTTTTTTTTTTCAGAAAATAATTTTTTTTCTGAAATGTCCAGATTCCGGCCAGATTCCGGCGTTGACCGCCGGTCTCCGACGTTGACTTTTTTTTTTTTTCGAAAACTTTTTTTTTTCCTGAATTTTTTTCCGGTCGGTCAACCACCGTTGACCGCCGGTCTCCGGCGTTGAATTTTTTTTTTTTTTTTTTTTTGAATTTTTTTTTCTTAGAAGAAAAAAATATTTTAATTAATATTACTGTTTTAGCTACTAACTTACTGTCTCAGACAGTAATATTACTGTTTGGGACAATAATATTATGAATATTATTTTTTTCGAACAGTAATATTATGAATATTATTTTTCCGAACAGTAATATTATTGTGTAAGACAGTTAAGTTACTGTTGAAGACAGTAATTTAGCATCTAAGGCCGTACTGTTAATTAAAATATTTTTTTTTAAGAAAAAAAATGAAAAAAAAACCAATTAACAGTTAAATTACTGTCTCCGACAGTTAAATAACTGCTGGAGACAGTAATTTAGCAAACGAATACAGTAATATTAATTAAAAATATTTTTTTTAAGAATAAAAAAGTCAATTAACAGTTAAATCACTGTCTCCAACAGTTAAATAACTGTTGGAGACAGTAATTTAGCAACGAATACAGTAAATATTAATTAAAATATTTTTGAAGAAAAAAAAAGTCAATTAACAGCTAAATTACTGTCTCCTGCAGTTAAATAATTGCCGGAGACAGTAATTTAGCAGCCAAGACAGTAATATTAATTAAAAAAAAATTAAGAAAAAACAAAATTTAAAAAAAAAAAAAAAAAGTCAACGCCGGAATCTGGCCGGAAAAATAACATTTCAGAAAAAAAAATTCTGAAAAAAAAATTGGGGGTTAATGTAATATATTTGTTTAAATCCGGGGTCAATGTGTAATATTAAGGAAGTTAGAGCACAATTGGTGGAATTGATAAGAATTAGGGTTAAAATTGGGGTCAAAATTGAAATTTGGGTTAAAATTGGTTAATTGATGAAATTATTGGGGTGTAAATCATGAAATTGGAGTTGAATTGGGTTTCAATGAATTGGGGGTAATTTTGGTATATATAAAGGGATTTTCTTTATTTGCAAATAAGTTTGAATGGGGTGGATTTATTTGAAAGATAAAAAAGTTGGATGTCCCTCTTTTAATTAAGTGCCCTTGTCATGGGCCTATTTGCCATTACCCAAAATAAAATTATCTTGCCAAAAACACCAATAAGATAAGCCCTTCGTAAAACTTTCCATTTTTATATCTAATAGCTACTCCAAACAAAAATCTACTAAAAAGGAATCTGCAGCCATATTTCCCAAATACTAATTAAAAATATTTTTACAAAAAAGGTAAAATAATTGATTTAGAAACTTGCTTTTCTAAATTTCCCTTATATTCAAACTCACAGAAACTATATATATACATACACACACCAAGATAGTTTATTTATTTTTCCTGTATATGTAGAGAAATTTTAGTCTTTCATTCTCCGAGCATGAAGTCCGAACATATTGTTACATCGAGGAACGAAGAAGAATCGAATTCTAAATTTGGAGAAAACAAACTGATACGGGCCATTATGACGAGATGAGCAAAATACAAGTTATTACAAGGTATGACATCGGACGGCGACCTCCAAGCAACGAGCTGGCCATACCATGACTCGTATTCCAGTATAGACATGACCTAAAGCAGGCCCAATAAGAAAGGCCCAAACACTTGATTTGAGGAGGGAGCAAACCCTAAAAAAGGAAACCTTGGAGGCCAAGGTTTCCTCATCTATAAATAGAAGGATCATCATACATACGCACACACACGATATACACTCTTTTACTACTGCATCACATATACTTATTCCTCTATTCTGATCACTGACTTGATCGTCGGAGCTCTCCCGCCGGGGACCCCTCCCGGCGTTGCAGGTACCATCACCGGAGTACGCACGAAAGTTGATTCAAGGAAGACGAAGCCCCACGGACCAAATCAAGTGGCGCCGTCTGTGGGAAAGATCTAGAAGTTTTGGGAACAGCTTCCGGGAAAATATCAGATCTGCCCCCGGAAGTCCAGATCTGAGCTATAAACGTAGAGAACAATGGAAGAAGAAGATACCACTGTCCGAAATTTGCAGAAAGAATTGGATGCAGCAGCTCGCGATACGCCCACTGCCGGTCTGTCCTCTGTCTTGAAGGACAAGTCAGGCTGCAGTCTGGTCACACCTGAAAAGGATAGTCGGATTCCTTTCGTCACGGGTAGCCCCTCTTTCGAGTTCCAGAGTGGCGAAGCTGCTTCGAGAAAACCAGTCATGGCCCCAGCTCAAACCTCCAATGAGCGTACGTACACCAGAGACGAGGTGGAAACCATGATCACCGCAGCCATTCGGAATTATGCTCAATCCTTACCCCAGGATAACCGACCTAGGAGAGATCTTAGGCGCTCCCCGAATGAGGGACGGGCTGAGGATGAATGCGACAACTATTCTAAGAATCGAGAAGGCAACAGTCATGGCGTCAGGACGGAAGTTGATAGCCTGAGGCGCGATATGGATGAGTTAAAAGCCTTGCGGAATGGACCACCGCGAGATCTCGCGGGATCTAGCCCTTTCGCCAGGCATCTCGATAGCGACCCCATACCAGCTAATTACCGACCAATTATGTTCGAGTATAACGGCACGTCAGATCCAGCCGAGCACTTGAGTCGGTTCAACAACACAGCATCACTCCACCAGCTCACGGAAGGAGTGAAGTGCCGCGCGTTCGTCACCACTTTAGCTGGGCCGGCTCAAGCCTGGTTCGGTTTGTTGCTGCCTGGGAGTATACACTCCTTTGGACAGTTTGCCAAGGCCTTCATGAATCAATTCGCTAGTTTAAAGAAGTGCAAAAAGACCTCGCTGTCGCTGTTCAGCATCCGCCAGAAAGAGAAAGAAAGTCTTCGGAATTATATCAAACGGTTCACTTCGGCCACACTGGAAGTCCCCACCACAAGCGACGAGGTGCTTATGGCAGCTCTTTCGCAAGGATTAAGGGATGACGAGTTCTTCCGAGCCCTAGCGCTGGAACTCTCACCTGATTTCGACAATTTGCTGGAAAGAGCATCCAGATTCATTAATCTGGAAGAAGCCAGACAACAGAAAGTAGAGGAATCTCACCAGACGCTGAATGCGCGAGCCAATGAAGCCAGGAAAAGTAAGGAGCCCATATTACCCCGAAGAGATACAATACCCGGCGTTAGCTCTGGCCGAGGCACCGCCCCGGATGCCAAGGGATCCCGATATCAGTCGTACCAGCCTCTCACGGCACCCCTATCCCAGGTGTTATGCGCAATCGAGAAGAGACCTGACTTGCGTTGGCCCCGGACTGCCCGAGAAGAGCCTCGCCGAAATCCCGCGTTGGGTACCTTTTGCCGTTTTCATAACGAATACGGACACGTGACGGATGATTGTTCGCATTTGAAAGATGAGGTGGAGCGTCTTATCAGAGATAACAAAATCGGGGACTTCGTGAAGATAGATCCCCCCCGAGGACAAAAGCGCGAAGCTCAATTTGGAAATCCTGCACGAGTCCCGCCTCCACCACCGATACCCAAACGAGGATACATCCAGATGATTTCGGGGGGACCTACGGGGGGAGACACTCACCGAGCTAGGCGGCGTCATCTTGGTAACCTCAAGAATAACCATGAAATTTGCCAAATCTCTGCACCGAAGCGCCGTCAATATCCCACCATCTCGTTCGGACCCGAGGATGAAGCAGATCTCGATGATTTTCATTGCGATCCCCTCCTTATCACAATCAACGTCGGAGGATACGATGTAGCACGTGCCTTCGTTGACTCGGGGAGTTCGGTTGATGTCATATCTTACGAATGCTTCCTACAAATGGAACTCGATCTCCCAATCTTCCCTGTCACCACCCCGATATTTGGGTTCACAGGAGGATCCTTGACTCCGATCGGACAGGTCAAGATCCCCGTCACCATGGGAACACCACCTCGGGCACGTACACAAACTGTCAACTTTGTCATTGTCGAGGGGTCTACCACCTCGTACAACATCGTGATAGGGCGGCCAATGATGCACACCTTCCGGGCAATCCCCTCGACTATTCACCAAAAGCTCAAATTTCCAGTTGACGGAGTAATAGGAGAAGTCCGTGGTGACCAAGCTCAGTCACGATCCTGTTACGTAGAGATGGTCAAAGTGGTGGAGAAAGGACGACGTGATACCCTCACTAAAGAAGATCTGGGAGACGAGAAACGCCCTCGAATTGATCCGGAAGATAAAGTCGCTCATGTACAACCCATGGACGAATTGATGACAATTGACCTTGACCCCGGCACGTCGAAGCAGACCCAGATAAGCAAAGACCTAGAACCACCCTTTCGAGATGAGTTGATAGCATTATTGCGATCTAATGTAGACGTCTTCGCATGGCAGCCCAGCGATCTGACTGGTATCGCACCTCGCACCGCTGTACACAGGCTCAATCTGTGACCCGAGTGCAAACCTATCAAACAAAAGCGACGACACTTCGGCATCGAAAAGGACGAAATTATCAAACAAGAAGTCCAACGACTTCTCGATATTGGGCATATTAGGGAAATCCAATTCCCCACATGGTTGCCCAATGCGGTGTTGGTGCAAAAGACTAATGGACAGTGGCGGATGTGCATCGATTTTCGGGACTTAAACAGTGGCGGATGACTATCCCTTACCCCGTATAGACCAGCTCGTAGACGCTACCGCCGGATGCGAACTACTCAGCATGATGGACGCTTCGCAGGGATACCACCAGATCCCGTTGGAGGAAAGGGACCAACCTGCAGTGAGCTTTATCACAACCACGGGCACTTATTGTTATGTGGTGATGCCTTTTGGCCTGAAGAATGCAGGAGCCACGTATCAAAGATTGATGGATAGGATGTTTCAGGCTCAGCTCGGGCGCAATATCGAAGTTTACGTCGATGACATGCTGGTCAAAAGCAAGAAGTGTTCCACACACCTCGCTGACTTGGCAGAGACATTTGCCACCCTTCACCTTTATGGGATGAAGTTGAACCCCGCAAAATGTGCATTCGCAGTGAGGGCTGGAAAATTCCTCGGGTATGTGGTTAATCGAGAAGGCATCAAGGTAAACCAAGATAAAGTCGAGGCGGTACTCCGAATGACCCCTCCTCGGTCCATCAAAGAAGTTCAATCCTTAGCAGGAAAAGTGGTGGCCTTGGCTCGATTCATATCGCGAATGGCTGATAAAAGTCTGCCTTTCTTCAAAGTCTTGAGAAAAGCGGCACAGTTCGAATGGACTGAAGAGTGCCAACTCGCGTTCGAGGCGCTAAAAGTTTCGTTAATTCACCTGCCCATCCTTAGCACCCCTGAAAAGGGTGAAACCCTATTCGTATATTTATCGGTGGGAGACGAATCGATTAGTTCAGTCTTGTTCAAGGAAGTAAGTGGTCAACAACGACCAATCTATTACATCAGCAAGATCCTCACCAACTCGGAGATTAGGTATTCAGAAGTTGAGAAAATAGCATACGCGCTGGTCCTCACTACGCGACAAATCCGGCCTTACTTCTTATCACACACAATGGTAATCCGTACGAGCTTACCACTCCGTCAAACCCTAGGCCAGCCTACGGCATCGGGACGAATTGTTAAATGGGCAGTCGAGTTAGGACAATATGAAATACAATATCAACCTCGTACCTCGGTTAAGGGACAAGCATTGGCAGATTTCATTCGAGAAACCACTAGGATACCTATGGAGAAAGAGTGGAAAGTTTACGTAGATGGGTCATCCACAGCGACAGGAGTCGGGGCAGGAATAATAATCATCGATCCCACAGGAATCGAGGTGGAATTTGTTGTTAAATTGCCACGAGTCTCCAATAACGAGTCGGAGTATGAAGCCTTCATCCGAGGTATGGAAATCGCCCAAGAACTCGGTGCACGGGTAGTGCGAATAAACTCTGACTCTCAATTGGTTATACACCAGTTAGAAGGGGATTACGAGGTGAAGAATGATAGAATGAAGGGATATGTAAACAAAGCTCGAGCAATACAAGAAAGTTTCGAAGCTTGCACCGTACATCAGATTCCGAGAAACGATAACCAGCGAGCTGATTTCCTCGCTAAAATTGGGTCTTCGGTCGTCGACTGCGTGGAAAGGAAGATCTCCATTCTCATTGCCCCTACGCCGACACCCGGAATCATGATGATCGGTGAGGAGCCCGACTGGCGAACACCTTTGTTTGCATATTTCAGAGGGGAACGAACCGGTACAACTAGAGAGCAACATCGCCTAGCGTATAAAGCCAGACACTTCTACGTGCGACATGGGATATTATATAAGAGGAACTTCACCACGGTGGATGCGAGATGCTTAGGAAAACAAGAAGTGGAACATGTTTTGGATGAAGTACACCGAGGAGGTTGTGGAGAACATGGGGGAGCTCGGGCCCTCATACAAAAATTACATCGGGCTGGATACTATTGGCCCGGCATGAAGAGGGACACCCATCAATATGTGCAACGTTGCATACAATGTCAGAAATTTGCCCCACTTATCCATAAACCGGGAGAAGAAATGACCATCATGAGCGCCCCATGCCCCTTCGCCCAATGGGGAATTGATCTAGTAGGACCTTTCCCTCAAACCACCGGTAGGAAGAAATTCCTTATCGTCGCGGTGGATTATTTTACTAAGTGGGTTGAAGCTGAGGCCTTGTCAAAAATAACAGAGGACGAGGTCATGCATTTCATTTGGAAACATATTTGTTGCCGGTTTGGCCTACCCCGAAGCCTCGTGTCGGATAATGGCACTCAATTCAATGGCAAAAAGATTTGCGCATGGTGTGAAGAGATGAAGATCACACAGAAGTTTGTGGCAGTAGCACACCCTCAGGCCAATGGTCAGGTCGAATCAACAAATCGAACCATTGTCAACGGCTTAAAAAAGAGGATAGACGAGCTAGGAGGCAGCTGGGTAGACGAGTTACCTTCGGTCCTTTGGTCTTACCGAACCTCGGCCAAAGCAGCTACCGGTGAAACACCATTTCGGTTAACCTACGGAACCGAAGCAGTCATTCCAGTAGAAGTAGCAATGGACACACTCCGCATAGCCACATCCGACGAAGAGGCAAATGACGGTGCATTGAGAACCCAGCTGGATGAGATCTTTGACTTACGAGAAGCAGCCTATTTACACATGGAACGAAGCAAGAATTTGATCAAAGCCCGATATGACCAAGGGGTCCGATCTCGCTCGTTCCAGATTGGTGATCTCGTTCTCCGACGAGCTGATGCCCTAAAGCACACGAGAAAACTGGAAGCCAATTGGGAAGGACCATACGTGGTCACAAAGTGTTTGGCTGGTGGAGGATACGAGCTGGCAGATGTAGAGGGAAAACCATTGCCACGGGCATGGAATGTCATCCATTTGAAACGCTTCCTCTCGTAACAAAAAAAAAAAAAAAAAAAAAGCAGAGAAGCAACACATCTTGTAAAATAAAAATCATCAATAAACGTCTATTTTCCGAGCTGGGCCAGGCCCCGTGGTTTTTTCTCTCCTTATTTGGAGGGTTTCCACGTTAAAAAAATCCTTGTGTTATTTATTTAAGTTACAACCGAGGCGTTAAATCGCGTATTTCACCGAGGCGTTAAATCGCGTATTTCACCGAGGCGTTAAATCGCGTATCACACCGAGGCGTTAAATCGTGTATCACACCGAGGCGTTAAATCGCGTATTTCACCGAGGCGTTAAATCGCGTAATTCACCGAGGCGTTAAATCGCGTATTTCACCGAGGCGTTAAATCGCGTATCACACCGAGGCGTTAAATCGCGTATTTCACCGAGGCGTTAAATCGCGTATTTCACCGAGGCGTTAAATCGCGTATTTCACCGAGTCGTTAAAACACGTATCACACTAAGGCGTTAAATCGCGTATCATAATGAGACGTTGAGTCGCACACTAAAAAGAGGCGTTGAGTCGCACACATAAGCGAGGTATAAAAACCAAGTGTTAAGGTAGAACGAAAGCGAGTTGTTATACTGAACAAAGGTGGCTTGCCAAAGATCAAGCTAAGTCCTATTGAAGGAATAATTCCCGACGCCAATAGTTATTGATTCGACTGGAATTCAAAAAATAGTTGCTTAATCTAAAGAATTATTCTTGAATGCGTAAAAATCGGAATATGATAAACCGGAGTAAGCATGAAAAGCAAAAACTTAAACAAACGAACTCCCGATATATTGCTATAAGGGAAATGGAGAAAAATTGTTCAAAACGTACAAAAGAGAAAAAGATAAAATACAAGTACATAATACATAGTTGGGAACTAATCAAAAGCAACTAAGTATTTTTGGGAGACTCCACCCTGGCTTCGCCTCGATTCCCGGCCGACGAAGGAGACAAGATAAGATCCGACGGTGCCTTGTTGAGGTTGGCCATTGCATTCACAGTCTCAACATCTCCAACAAAATCGGTGATAATTACCGAGGAGGCCCCTTGGCGGGAGAAGTCTTCAACAAGCTCCCGATGCACTTGTCTCCACCACTCCAAATTGGGATCCTCGTTCACATCTCCTTCGAAGCCCGGAATCTCATCGTCCGGCAGGTCCTCGGCGAGCTCATTCTCGACTAGTGGGAACTCGATGCCTGCACCACTTAGTCGTTTCCGGACAGCCTTCACCGCCTCCGAGAAAAAGAAGCGAGCTAAACCAGACGCCTGCCGGGTGTACGTCGTTGAACGCCAAAGTCGGTCGAAAAAACGACCGACGAACGCCTCCATGAAGCGAAGACCTTCCAACGATCCCGGGAACAGCCTATGCCCTTCCTTCACTCATTCGGTGAAGTTCGTGGATGCCTGCACCCCGGCTGCAAAAAGCTCGTTTGAAAGCTGCTTCGCCTTCTCTTCCAAGCCGGCATTATGAGATACCAGTGAATCCTTCTCGGCCTTCAAAATCTTCTGCTCTTCCTGCAATTTCCTCACCTCGGCAAAAAGGCCCTCCTTCGACGATTCCGCCACCGCCAGACTCTCTTTCAAGGCCCGGACCTCCTTCCGGAGCTGAGTGACCTCTTTCTTCTGGTTGTCATATGCCTCGCGCGAGACATCGTCCCACCCGAGGGGGCCCGAAAAGGCGATGACGAATTGCTGTACGTACGAGAAATTCAAGAAAAAGTTAGCCGCAAGTAGAAAATGTAAAAACGAAAAATAACTCGTAGGTATGAAGTAAAACCAACCTGCGTGATGTTGTGTAAAAGCAGCTCGAGCCGGTCACCTTTACTCATCTGCCCAAAGTGGGCAACATCTTGAGGGAAAGCCAGAGCCCGGCAAGCAGCAATGGCGTTCTCTGCATTCTGGCAGAGGTGGAGTGCGAAGTTGGGGGGTGGAGCTGACCCAAGGATCAACTCGGCCCTCCTTTTCTTTTAAGAGGGCTCTTTTTCTACCACTTCTTCGGCGGAAGGGGGCGGTGGAGGAGAAGCTACAACCACGGCCGACGATTGCCGAGGTAACTCGGTATCCTCAATGCGTGCCTCACCTCGCGGACGCGAGGGCCCGGTATTCTTCTTGGAAGGCCTTGGCCTCAAAGCCCCTTCTTCCGAAGATCTCTTCTCGGGTTCAGCGACTAGGGGACGCTGAAATTCAGATGCCTGAAACCCTGGTTCCGGCTCGGAGGGACGAGTCGCCGCCTTATCTCCCCGGAACATCCTCTTCATCCTTAAATCTGTCCACAAGATGAAAAATAAAGAAGAGTGAGCAAAGAAGAAAAAGTAGACAAGTATAAACATAGCCAAATAAAAATTGCTCGAGCTGAGACTATAAATCTAGACAAAACCGATGTCACGTTTAGACCCACCTAAATCCTCCTGAGTTGAGGAGTGGGTGCCGTTGTCATGAAAAAAGAAGTGACGAAGCATTGGCGGGAACTTGATAAGGCTATCCGGAACGCCGTAGCTCGGTTGGAAATGAATTATCATTCGCAACAAACATTCGTCAATCACCAAGGGTTTTCCCCTCCTCTTTTCGGGCAGGGTCGCAAGCCAAGGGCATAGATAGGGGGTGTCAGCAGGATTTCTCGCGAAAAAATAATGACCTTGCCACCCATCAGTCTTGTTAGGTGGCATTAGTATTTTGAAACCCGGACGAGCCGAGATAGAGATGTGAAAAGGACTGGAGTTTTTTAACACCATAACACTCCGGAAGCGAGCTGGAGTGGGAATCACTCCTGACCAGGCACAGAGCATGCGAAACCCGGTCATGAGGATTATGGCATGAGGATGGAATTGGTTAAGCGACACGTTGCATAATTGGGCAATTTCAGAGAACCAAGGCGAGATAGGGAAGGAAAGACCGAAGTAAAACTGTTCTGAAAACCAGGTGCTAAAACCTAAAGGAGGATTTAACGGACGGTCATCTCGGGCGGGCAAGACTAATTCAATATCGGTGGGGAGACCTATGTCGCGAGCTAAATTAATTAGATCTACTTCGCTTAGGGTGCTAGGCCCCCATTGGTCGTCTAAATCCCGCCCTTCAGATAACGAAGGAGAACCACTCCTCGCAAAAGACAGAGTGTCATCTCGACCCCTCTTCTTAGATTTTTTCAGGAGTTTGCCTGAGGGGGAGAAGTAGGGTCCCTCTTCCGAAAAAGAAGAGATAGTAAGAGAGGGGTGTTCATCCCCCTCCCCGGAACAGTGGCTAGAAGGCATCTTTTGGCCAAAGGGTTCAGGGGAATGTGAAGACATAGCCGATCGGAAGAATAAGATGGGGGTAACAAATCAACTAAAAAGAAAAGTAGTACCTTTATCGGGAAAGAAAATGAGCACGAAGAATAGGAGCTCTGTTTCGGGAAGCAGGATCGCCGGAGAAGAAGTAATAAGAGAAGAGAAAACACGAGGGTGGAAAAAGAAAAAAATTTTAGAAAAAGGACGGGGGTCAGATACTTATAGAAGGAGGAAAAGAGGAAAACTCGATCGTAACCGTCTATTCGGACGGGCAAGATTAAAAGTAGATCGTCTCGAACCCGATGCAAGAGGCGCCGATTGGAATCCCTCAGTATTGACCTAGGGAAGAGGGGAAATCAATCATAACCGTTTATTCGGGCGAACAAGATTTAATGCAGAACGTCTCGAATCCGGCGCCAAAAAGCATTGATTGAAATTTCTTCATGATGACCTGGGGAACTCGAATCGACCACACGGGATGTCAGAGTAATTAATGAAGGAAAAAGGGGAAGGGTTGCGTGCACCAACCATACACGAACCGAAACCCGAACTCACACCTCGTACTCCGTACTTATAAAACGAGGTAAGAAAGAACAAACTCGTCTTATAAATAAGGAGTAGGGGGGAGTAGTTGATACGGGCCATTATGACGAGATGAGCAAAATACAAGTTATTACAAGGTATGACATCGGACGGCGACCTCCAAGCAACGAGCTGGCCATACCATGACTCGTATTCCAGTATAGACATGACCTAAAGCAGGCCCAATAAGAAAGGCCCAAACACTTGACTTGAGGAGGGAGCAAACCCTAAAAAAGGAAACCTTGGAGGCCAAGGTTTCCTCATCTATAAATAGAAGGATCATCATACATAAGCACACACAGGATATACACTCTTTTACTACTGCATCACATATACTTATTCCTCTATTCTGATCACTGACTTGATCGTCGGAGCTTTCCCGCCGGGGACCCCTCCCGGCGTTGCAGGTACCATCACCGGAGTACGCACGAAAGTTGATTCAAGGAAGACGAAGCCCCACGGACCAAATCACAAACATGGATCGAATTCCAAATTTGAAGAAAACGAAGATGGATCACAGTTCAAATTTGGCGAAAGTTTTGTTCTAAATTGTGCCTCGTGCAACTACCAAATACACGAAAGTCAGACTGTTTATATGTACAAGTAAGTCGTTCGCAATACATGCATTGTAAAACTGTATAATAATAGCTAGCACATGTTAATTATATAAGTTGTACAATTTGATCCGAATCAAGCTTATATTTCTCTCTCGTTTTTTTTTTTTTTTTTTTTTTGTCTTTTTTCAGCGATCAATGTTTTTGTTGCCATCGATGCCGAGCTAAAGTGATGTCTTTAGACAGAGTTCAAGCTTATGCAGACTGTCATAAGGAGATTATTCCGTTAAGCCACACTGAGAAGCCTGAAGAACATACTATTGCTACATTGAAAAACGAGGTTGGATCCAAGTCCAAATTTCGAGAAAAAAATATTCGACGATGTGCCTCGTGCGACTACCAGATGCATCAAAGTCAGACTGTTTATGTGTACAAGTAAGTCGCTCGTAATATATATGCATTGGAAAACTTATTATAATAATATAGCAAAATAATCAATTTTCATATAACTTTTAATTTGATAGTAACAGATTATTCTTTCTTCTACAGTGATCAATCTTTCTGTCGCAATCGTTGCCGGGCTAAAGTGATGTCTTTAGA